TGCACACTGGTCACCTTTGCTGTAGGTAATCCCCTGGCTCTGTCACTAAACCCCCACAAGAGCCGCAGCAACCCTAGCAGAAATACGTCTCACCAGGGGTGGCTGTGATGGAGCTGCGTTCCCGCAAATTAAATTAGGAGGTGGAGGAACAGCGGAGCAAAGGCACAAATGAAGAAAACAGATGCCTACGTACATGCCTTTAGTCTTTCCAGCCTTGGTTTAAAAACTGCACTCTGGCCCTCTGTTTTCACCAAACTCCAGTTTACAGCTGTAAAAGTGCGAAAGAGGGAGGCAATCGGAGGGAGTAAAAGAGCAAAATGAGCACAGATGAGGACAGAAGTAATGTTCCCAGGTTTTACTAAACAGCAAAACACTGAGAGTCTGATGGCCACAGACTTATCAGGACTAAAACTGCTCGCAGCTTTCTTACCAAAGCAAACACCCTGCTGAAAAATGATAGAATCCTTTGTTTCCTGATAACAGCTGTGAAGTCTTGAAGAGACAGCCCCCACAGATGTGCATGAAGGACAGTGCCTTGTGATGCTCTGATGTTTGGCTCTCGCAGACGTCTGTCAGGATGAGAGATAGAACACAGCTGGACAGTCGGGATCCTGGGATGAAAGTGATGTCGCTTTGCCATGTCAGTCCCAGCTGCCGCGGGACGGAGCGAAGACGGGTACAATTTGGAGTTGGCGGCTTCCCATTGCTCTTCCGTGAAAATGATGCAGAGCCAGACATCACATAATTACCAAGTCCCTGTCGACTTAAGGGTTTGTTGAATATGCAGGTGTTATGGAAAAACAACAACAAAAGTATTATTCTCTCTTCTTGTCAGTTCATCTCACATGTTTTCTCGTAATTAGGTCTGGGGCCATTCAAATAAGGTGAGTTTGAGTTTGATGAAGCATTTCTGTGTTGATTTGCTAATGTGTTTTGTAACAGTACAGTTGTGACATTAGTTTCTGACAGAGTTCACCAGATTTTTATATCATATCTTCTGGTATTTCGAAGAGATGTGTGTTGTCATACTCTACAACTAGGTTTTCACTGCCTTTTGAAGATGAGCATGGCTACAACGTCGCAGTACTTTCACCGTACAGTGGCTATAAGGTGCTTTTCCACTTTCATCCTGTGTATCATGTTAAACCCAGCCGGAGTCTTTGTTTTGTAACAGCTCAACCTGAGACTCATCTGATTAAAGCACACAATTTTGATTAAAGACTATACCATGCAGCAAATTCCTCATCTTTACATGTATGATGGGAACTAAATATGCTTTTTTCATGAAGCTCCTCCCCAACAACTAGTTGGTATGAATAGCATATGACCCATGCTTAATTTACATTTATTTTTATTAAGGGATTGTTAGAGGGGGTGCAAAACATTGTGCCACCAGTTCTTGTATTTAGAAAAAAAAATTCTCCAGACCTTCTTTCCATCCCACTTGTTAGATTAAAGGTTAGATTTTTCAAAAAATATATTTTGGGTGAGGTTATTCTACTGGAATCAAAAATAAATTCATCGAGAGGCACTGACACAAAACATTCTATTTTAGTTGACCTTGGTCTCTTGAAGGTTAGTACATTGTCCCTAACCTTGGAGGAAGATGGATGCACCCTCAATAAATGCATTGGTTTAAAGAGACAGCATCCTGTGTTGGGCTGCAGAGACTAACCTATATAACTGAGGGACAAGAAGAACAATTTGAGGAGATTTGGAAGAACTTGGTGAACTTTCTTGAACGTCAGAGACCAATACTGTGATGCTGTGTTGCTATTTTTAGAATGGTTTTAGTTGATTGTTTTGACAAAAAAAAGTAACAAATATGTAAATGTCTAAAGGATCCACTTGTGTTAAATATATATTTTTCATTTTATACTGAGACAGTCTGTGTAAAGACTACTAAAAATCAAAGAAGCAAAGGATATGGAGCTTGCAGAGTTTGTAAAGGTATAAAGCTGAAGCACAAGTTCACAGTCACCTTCGTGTCTCATAAGGCCTCAGGTGAATTTCTTGTCACAAAAAGAAATGATTAAGAATAAGCCACTGCCAAATAAAAAATTAATTAGATTTGAAAAAAAAAATGTAACCCAAATTACAGAAGTTCTTATTTGCTTTTGCTTTATATTTCATTAACTATCTTTCTACAGATGTGTACTTATATTAGTTTCAAAAATATACTTAAATGTTCTTAACATTTTACATTAATTGAACTCAGTATTGACAATATATGTTCACTAATCAAACTGAAACGCTGTGGTTCTTAAAATTAATCCTGAAAGCTCTCAAACTGGCCATAAAGGTCATAAAACAAGAGACAATATTTTCATTTAAATGCTATTTGAACATTTTCAGGTAATGTTGTTTGTAAATTTACCAAGTCATAAAACTTGAAAGCATTTCATTTGAAGAATAAAGATGGAACTTGAATTAATTTTATGTTTCCCACATTTCTAAATAGTAACAGAAGGATTAACAAAATAACTGTAAATAACAATATATGCCAAGGACATAAATATTTTATTTTACTGATGAACAAAGCAAGCAAATCAGCTTCTCCCACATGACAATTGCCAGTACGACCATTAGATGGCACTGCTCCCGTTTTAATAGTCTTTTGGAGATGACGTTATTTTTAGAAGGTGCGTCACTGCAGCTGTTCACATTTTGAACTTCAGTTATGCAACAAAAATCAAACAATAGCTTTTTTTTTTTTTTAGCCATTAGAGCAGTACCGTTTTCATAAACCTAAATCTTCTCGTGCAGCAATTTTAAATAGCTATGGTGAATCTTTCACAGAAAAAGTTTGGAATATAATTTATAGTTCCACTTGAATTATTTAAAACGTTTAGTAGAACAATATAGCACTAGTAAAACTTATTGCCATATCTAGTTCGATGTGCTGGACGGGAGAACATAGATTATTCGGGGACCTCGAAGTGAAGCAGACAACACTCTTTGTCTGTCAGTGTCTCAACAAGACTGGGGTTTTATAACTGAAGACCAAGGGATGCTATTTATAGCTGCGTCCTCTTCATCCCACTTCAGACAATCATCACATCCAGCCCTCCTCAAGGTACACCGTCAACACTCCACTCGCAGTCCTTTCATTTTTAATGTGACGACAAATTCAACGCGACAGGTGTGCTAAAAGTGTGTTCACAAAAAGACTGGTATGTTTTCTGTAGTTAAAGGTTGATGTGACATGTAGCTTTTATTTTGCTCGTTCCTCTTATTTTACTAATTTTAAAGGTAGCGAGATAGACTATTACTATTATATCTGTTATTATTATTTTTTTTTATCAGCGGATTATTAGTTAACTGGACAGTTGATTCTGCGGACAAACAGGTGGTCGTTTCACTCTGCAGTGTGAGTCCGCCAGAGAAAGTGGACCGGAACAGTCTCTATTTGACTCTCACTGTTCGTGACATCCCTCCCACACCCGAAACACAGGAAATGTCTTTTCTCTCCGATTACTTATTTGCCTCATCATCTCTGCTTGTACAGACTGCTAATGGATGGGGGCTATTGTAGTGCGGGCGCTCGGATCTATAAATAGACCTGCTTGCGAAGTATGATCTCATCACTGGGGATGTGAGGCGTGATAGCGCTTATTGGAAAGATTGTCAATTAGCTTGGATGCATCACACAGTTGTCATAAAACTGCAATGACTTTTACAAAACCATTTATAGTGGTGTGTGAATCAGTTTTTTTTTTATCTTTCTTTCTTACAATATGGTTATGGTTATTTACATTTTGTTGGATCCATACAGTTTTATTGATGAGATAGAACTACACAAAGTGGTGCGTAACTGTGCAGTGGACAGGAAATCATATATTGTTTTCAAATTTCTTACAGTTAAAATGCTGGCTTGGATTTGTTTTCTCCTCCCTATAGTTTGATAGTCTTAAATAAAATCAGGTGCAACCAACTGCTTTCAGAAGCCACCTAATTAGTGAATATAGATTTATTTTCCTTTTGGTTTTTCCCTTCAGAGGTCGTCACAGTGAGTCATCTGTCTCCATGTAACCCTACCTTCCACATCTTCTTCCCTCACACCAATTACCTTCATGTACTCTTTCACTACATCCACAGATCTCCTCTTTGTTCTTCCTCTAGCTTTCCTGCCTGGTAGGTGCATCATCAGCATCCTTTTTAAATTGAAATCCACTATAAATTCAGTTGTTTGTGAAGGATTCAGTGGTATCTGAAGAAACTAAACAAGAGCAGCTGTTGTTGGAAAAGTCCTATGGGGGACACAATAAACACACGGAAGAAGATGCATTGATTAGATGACGCTAAAACTGGAAGTCTGTGCAAAAGGACATATCTCCTCCATTTGATTCAGGTGCATTGGACCAGAGACACCACCCAGAGTTAGTGGAGGTGTTAGTGGCCAGTTGCTTTTCCATCAAATCTGAGTGAGCATTTGTTATTTTGCAGAGAATGTGTAAAAATGTTATTCTGTAGTTGTGCAGAACTGGTAATACACCAAAAACAATGAATGTTATGTAGGCATGAGACCATTTAAAAACAAACAAACAAAAAAAAGAACTATTGAGAGGAGAAACTGCTTTATAAGTAAAACCGTAATGGCACAGTATTAAGTCAAGAGGGCAGAATACAAATTTACCACACTTTTAGAATATTAAAAACCATGTATCTCTTTATTTCCTCCTCTTCACAGTTATGCAACAGTTTGTGTTGATCTATTACATAAAACAAGAGAAAAAAATCATATCCTATCCCCTCAAACCTGAGACATACCTTCTCCAGAAGCAAGCAAAAATATTTCCAATCCAGTAGGAATGAGAGGGAGGAGCAATCTTAAATTTTATAGAGATCAATATTATTTCTAAAAATCATAAATAATATTTTTTTAGATCACTTATATCACATTAGAGATCACCTTGTTGTACTAAAATGCCATTTAATGTGTTTTAAATTATGTTACTGTTAGGGTCTGGGTTTTGGTTTTATTTATTTCTGTTTCTTTGTTCCTCTTTTATTTAACTCAATCTTGTTTCTGTTTAGCTTTAGTTCAGTTCTTCTTAATGTCTCTAATTATGTTTATTTCTGTTTCTAGTTATTTTTAGCTTCTCTAGTTTTAATATGTTTCTTTAGTATAGTTATATTCTTTTGAGTTGGACTTATTTCCTAGTTCCCTGTGTAATCTCTCTCTCGCCCCTGTGCCATTCTCTTTCTCTCCCTCTCCTCAGTCTGCTTCCTGTTCCCTTCACTCTCACCTGCAACCCTTTAACTCATCACCCTAGGTCCTTTGTCTCAGCATTCAACCTCCCAGTATTTAAGCTTCTCATTTTCAGCCACTCCTTGTCAGATCCTCTCGTTTACCCGTGTCACTTTCCCTAGTTCTCCTTGTGTCTCCATGCTGGTTTCTTTACTTGGATTTTTTATCCATTCCTGACCTGGTTACATGTTATCTTTTTAAGTTTGTTTTCATTAAACTTTCTAATTCATTTGCCACCTCAGTATCTCTGCGTTTGGGTCCAACTTCAACTGACAAAACATTATGGCATTATTCTTAGAATTTTTAAAGGTAACCCTGAACAAATGAGAACAAGCGATATCTTTCTTAGAGTTAAATATTCCTCTGAAAATGGTTTGTTTCTCCATTGAATATCAGTAATGCATTAAAAATTAATCAACATCTCTTTAAAACATCACAAGATGATATTCAAAGAAAACCTTAAAGAAGTGAGCACTTCTTTATGGTCCATACATCCACAGAACTATAAATATTTTTCTAAACAAAAATAAAAAAAATCATTTCATTCTGGATCGAAATAAATTAAATTAAGGCTTGTAGCTGTTGTGATGAATTATGCAGTACAGTGTTTTGACATCTTCCAATTTTGATGGACACTTTGTGATGTCAACAAAAACGTTCCTCACAAATGCAACTCGTTTTCAAATGGCAGCTGGATATTGGCGTCTGCTAACAAGTGCTCTTTCCACAGGTTTCTTGCCTTGACAGCTTTTCAGAGCTGCTTCGCAGAGCAGTCATAGAAAAACCCATAAATTCGAGACCTGGCAGTGTACATTTTCCTTTAGACAGGGACAGAGGAAAAAAACACAGCTCATTCTTGACATGAAGGCTTTTCACTGCAGTTTGTCCAAATGACCCTCCAGCCGTCTTTCCATTTCAGAATATTTTTTGATATTTTTACATTAGGCTTGTTCTTGGCAGGTTGCAGCTCACAGATGTCTACACTGCTCAGATGGCTTGAGGGGGCAGGTACCATCTGAGCTGTGTCATGGAGAGAAAGTCATTTTATCAGCACCTTACACTCAGCCTGACACATAATTTCATAGTACCAAGGAATGTGTTAATGAGACAAAATGTTTTCGAAAGAACAAATTTTGGCAGGCATCTGTGAATTATTCAGGGGACCTGATAAGTCTACTGAACTGGTGAGAAGTGTTCACAGAGCCAGCATGCTGCATGATATCGCTGCTGTCTCATACATGCCAGCTATGGGCAGGCTGATATTGTTGTCTTAAACTTGGTGTTTGCCATATTTCTAATGATATTGCGAAGACCCTGCAGGAAAAAAAAAAATCTGTCCCCTACAGAGATGAGATAAAAAGTGGGACTGAGTAAAGACAGTTAATTTTCTCACAATGTCAGTAATGAAAATGGTAAGCAACACCTCTGTTCCTGTTTTTGACTATAAAGACAGCCTACAACCTAATTATGTCAGAAATTATACTTCCAAGAAAAGCTGCTAAATACAAGGAATAATGCAACTGTGCGTTATTGTTAATATGTGTTAATATCGGTTTTTCTTTACCTGCATTTCTTCATTTCTATTATCAATATGGCTCCACTGTTCTCCATGACATTTATTGTCTGAGGCTCTGAAATCAAAGAGGGTATATTAGCATTAGTAGTAGTGAAAGTCTATCCAATTTACCAAATGTATTATTTGCATGCCACATGACATACAAAATAAATAAATTAATGAAACATTCTGAACCTCCATATGATTATAGCAACTTCCGTAGTAAATATGTGTATTAAAGCCTTTAGAAGTCTTGTTTTAATGCACAGGCATAATCTACCGCATCATTTAGAAAATGTAGCATTTAATTAGAGTGCACTAATTCAGTTGGGAAAACAATTCAGCATTAGGAAATGATTGTACAAAAAGCAACAGTTCTGCCTTTCTTGGCACCCCTACTGATCATATTTTATGCAACTCGTTTCTTTCCAATTGGACATTTTGGGTTTTCAAATTTTGCAATGATTCACCGGATCCCAACAGAAATGATTCACATCTTCTTGGCCGGAGGCAATTTGTGTATTTCTGTAATATCTAAACAAGTCAGTGAGCTTTGATAAATTGTGCCTTGCACCCTTTTTTAAAAATAAACTCTCTTTTTGTGCCTCATCTCATATTGATAAATGAGTAGCAGTAATCCTTTCTGCAGTGGTTCCAGTTTTAGAACTACTGAGATTTTCTTTCTTAAATGTGCATTTCTCCCAGTCCGCTTCTCTGCTTTATATCGGCCATCATTGTTGACACCCTCGAATTGCTTCCATTTTATTCTTTATGTGCTCCATGATCTATTATTGGCTTGGCCTATAAGTGTTTTCTGTTTCAAAACAAGATGAATCCCTAACATGGCATTAGGTTTCCAGGCAACAGTGCATACTCTGCCGCTTGGGTATAATTTTCTTTGTATAGTTATGATGTTTAATAGTAAGTGACTGCATGGCACTTTTCCAAATTTAACCACAGCGCACAGAGCCTGTAGAGCTTGATGTATGTCAGGAGGCGTGGAGGCTACGAGCTATATTTGGCTGCTGTGTTCCCTTCAAAGCGATGACTTCTAGGTCTGGACTTGACATTTCTCTTAGACTGGAAAAAAATGGGTTTGGGTCAGTGAGTTTTTTTGTGGAAGGTGAAGCAGGCCTGGAGGGGGAGGGGCTGATGTTGATGTCCAGAGGACAGACCTGGTCTATGTTCGGCTGTGTCTCACTCTTTGATCCTTACTCTTTGCTGCACAAAAGGTGTCTGAGTTTTAGGTGATTTATGTAGATTCCCTTAGCATCAGAGATTACAAAGATGTTGCACTCTGGAGGGAATATTATCACGATTGGAAAAAGTTTTGGAACAGGTTTAAGGTGCAAGCAGTATGTTTTCTGGAATGGATAAATGAAAAAAATACAAATAAAATAAATAAATAAATAAATAAATAAATAAATAAATAAATAAATAAATAGTGGATTGCAAAGGCGTTGATGTCTCCTTAACTTTTTCGCATTTTGTCTCTTTACAACCTAAACGTCATTGTGTTTCATTGGCAATTTATATACACTAAAGCAAAGTAGTGCACAATTGTGAAATTAATAAGGAAAAGAACATTGTTTCCAGTTTATTTTACAAATAAATATCCGAAAGTGTGGAATACATTTGTATTCAGAATCCTTTACTGTAGAACCTGGACAGGAAGAGGCTAAACTTATACTTTTGTCTTAGTATAAGTTAAGCATTGACTAGAAAAGCAGCCAAGAGTCTCATAGAAACTCTAGAGGAGCTGCACAACTTGAGTGGGAGAATCTGTTAACAGAGCAACTGTTAGTTTTTTTCACTCCATGATTTTAGTCTTTGTGAAGAGACGCAAGAATAAGCTATTGTGGACAGAAAGCCATATGAAGTTCCATTATTGGTTCACCACAAACAGTGCGGGGGGCACAACAAACTGCTAACAAAACAATTGTTAACACAACAATATTTGCTCTGACCGAAAAAGACTAAACCTTT